GAGACCATCATACTAAGTGAACTATCACAGAAACGAAGAACTGAATATTGCACGTTCTCACTCATAAGTGGGCCCTGAACGCTAATCACATAAACGCAAGGGAGAGGTCGGCAGTCACTGGGCATTGCTAGGGGAGGGAAAGAGGGAGGGAAGAGGGCCACATGACAACACAAAGGTGTCAGGTCCACTACCAGGAGAAGGAGGGCCAGCTGGAAGCCCAAACTTCATCTGCATGCAGCCTACCTATGTAGTTAATCCTCACTAGTACCCCACACCTCTATAATAAAAACAAAAACAATTCTTTATTCATGTGGTATCTACTAGGGACTAAGCATGAGGAAATAAGATAAATATGATTTGCTCTTGCCCTAAAGGATGCTTTATTCTAAGGGAGAATAAAATTTAAGTAAGGTATATATATTTTTTTGAGTTGGAATTACACTGTTGCCTAGGCTTACGGCCACCGCAGCCTCGACCAGCTGGATTCCAGTGATCCTTCCACTTCAGCCTTCCAAGTAGCTGAAACTATAGGCATGCGCCACCACGCTCAGCTAATTTTTTGACTTATTGTAAAGACAAGGTCTTGCCATGATGCCCAGGCTGGTCTTGAAGCCATGGGCTCAGGCAATCTTCTCACCTCTACCTCCCTAAAGTGCCAGGATTACAGATGTGAGCCACCACGCCCAGCCTAAATAAGATATATATTATCTAATCTACAAAGTATATGTTTTATTACTACTTTAGAGATGGAAAATGGAATTTTTAGGGATCTGCAACTCTTCAAGGACAGCGTCAAACAGTAGTGAATATATGGCATTTATTGAAGACCTGGTATGTACCTGGCACATTAAGGACATTATCTCCAAATTTCATAGCTACAGTACAAGGCAGGTGTTATTCCCATTTCGCAGAAGAGGAAACGTATGTCTCAAGATCATACAGTTGGTGATAGAATTTGAACCAAAGTTGTCTGATTTCAGAGTATTTTACTGATCTCGATATTCCAAGTGCCTAGCTCCCAGTAGCAACACAATTAAGAGTGCTGAATGAACAAATTTCTGTAACTAGTGTTCCTTCTCTCACATCGCAAAACATTAATATTGCTCTTCTGTTATATATATCTTGGTCTCAGCTCCGTTCTCATTATACACAGTGGTCTCAGGGTAAATTAAATGCTATCTTGGGATGGCCAGTGTTACCAATTGACCAAAATAGCTAGGGCATTAGGAAATCATAAAATATTATCATGCAATCATAATTAATTAAAATAATGTCATTTTACTAAAAATAAGACATAAAGACTAATGGAATTGAGCAAAATTCAGAAATAGACCCTTATTTATAGGAATTGTGTGTATTGAAACAGATCCTCATAAAACAATAAAAAGAAAAGAATTATTTAAAGACCTTATTTAAATGTAAAGAAACATATAATCCCAGCACTTTGGGAAGCCTAGGAGGAGTATTGCTTGAGCCCAGGAGTTTGAGACCAGTCTGGGCAACATAGGGAGAACTCGTCTCTACAAAAAAATTTTAAAAATTAGCTGGGCATGGTGTCACATGTCTGTAGGCCCAGCTATATAGGAGGCTGAGGTTGGAGGATTATTTGAACCCAGGAGTTTGAGATTATGGTGAGCTAAGATTATACCACTGCACTCCAGCCTGGGCAACAGAGTGAGACCTCGACTGAAAAAAATATTTTTTTTTTGTTTTGTTTTAAAACCAACCTAGGTTAAAATGTAAATAAAGGACAACCCTTTTGGGTCCCCTCCCACTGTGGGGCTTTTCTGTCCTCTCAATATATCTTGCTTTCCAAAAAAAAAGTAAATAAAATAGTATCTGTTAAAAGAGTCATTTATATTAGCCATTGGGGAAATGCAAATTAAAACCATGGTGAGATACCATTACATGCCTATCAAAATGGCTAATTTTTTTCTAAAAATTGACAGTACCAAATGCTGGCAAGAATGAAGAAAAAGTAAATAGTTCACATGTTGCTGGTGAGAAGGTAAAATGGTGCAACCACTCTAGAAAACAGTATGGCAGTTTTTTTTACAAAATTAAACATACACTTGCCCTATGACCAAGCAATGACACTCCTGGCAATTTATCCTAGAGAAATGAAAATGTATGTTTACACAAACATCTGTACACAAATATTTCTTGCAGCTTTATTTGTAACAATCAGAAACTGGATACAACCCCCAGAAGGTTTTTGTCCTTTAAAAGGTAAATGGATAAACAAATTGTGCAACACCCATACCATGGAATACTCCTCAAGAACTATTGATATACCCAGCAGTTTAGACGGAGCGCAAAGCCATTATGCTCAGTAAAAAGTACCAATCCCAAAAGGTTAAATGCTGTGTAATTCTATTTATATAGCTTTCTCAAAATGATAGAACTATTGAGGTGGAGAACAGATTAGAGGGGGAGAGAGGAGGTGGTAAAGGGTGGCAGTAGGGACAGAACTGTTCTGTATCCCTTTTTAAATCCACCTATGAGCCGGGTGTGGTGCTTTATGCCTGTAATTCCAGGACTTTGGGAGGTGGAAGCGAGAGGATTGCTCGAGTTCAGGGAATCAAGATCAGCCTGGGTAACTTGGTGAGACCTCATCTCTACAAAAAAAAAAAAAAAATAGCCGGGCATAGTGTTGTGTGCCTGTGGTTCCAGCTACTTGGAAAGCTAAGGTAGAAGGATTGCCTAAGCCCAGCAGGTCGAGGCTATGGTGGTCATGATCGTGCCACTACATTCCAGCCTGGGTGACAGAGTGAGATTCCAATTCAAAACAAAAAAAATCCATCTATGGTTCTCAATACAGTTCTGTATCTTGATTGTGTTGGTGGTTATATGAATCTATACATGTGATAAAATGTCATAGAACTATACACACACACACACACACACACACACACATACACAAATATAAGTACACGCAAAACCTGGTGAAATCTAAGGAAGGTCTGTAATCTAGTTAATTGGCAATTTCCTGGTTTCCACAATCTACTATAGTTATGTCAGATGTTACTGTTTAGGGAAGCTGGGTGATGGGAACATGGGATCTCTGCATTTTTATCATTTCTTGTGAGTTTATAAATAAGTGAAAAAGTTGTAAAAAGAGCTATTAGGCTGGCACAGTGGCTTACTCCTGTAATCCCAGCACTTTGGGAGGCCAAGACAGGAGGATTGCTTGAGCCCTGGAGTTCAAGACTAACCTAGGCAACATAGCGTGACCTTGTCTCTACAAAAAATTTGCCAGGCATTATGGTGTGCCTGCAATTCCAGCTACTCAGGAGGCTGAGGCAGGAGGATCACCTGAGCCCAGAAGGTTGGGACTGCAATGAGCTGTGATCGTGTCACTGCTCTCCAGCCTGGGTGACAGAGTGAGATGCCACCTCAAAAAAAAAAATAAATAAAAGAAAAAACAAAGAAAAGAGCTATTAATGACTATTGTGAAAATATGTGTAAGTACTAGTAACTAATGCTGGCGAGTTATAATCTGTATTGCTGATGACAATAAAAAAAATACCATAGAGGAACAGATATTATGAACCATAAGTACTTATTACTGTTAACCTAGTTATTTCTATTTCTGGTCATTTATCCTAAGAGGATAATCCCCCAAAGTTAAACAGGATAGGTTATATCATTTACAATAACAAATAGCCACATACAAAAAAAAACTTTAGCATTCCAAGTGGTAGGCAACTAATTAAGTAAATTATGGTACATTTACTGACTGTAATATTTAAACAATAAATTGATACATATAAAAAATTGTTATACTGTTGTGTATGCATAGGGACAAGAAAGGCATATAAAGAAATAAATGTAATTTTATTTGTTTAATGTTGCTTTACTATTTGTGTAATTTAATAACATAATACTGAAATATGGCCAATGAATTTTTTTTTTAATTTTTGAAGACGTGGGGCCGGGTGTGGTGGCTCACACCTATAATCCTGGCACTTTGGGAGGCTGAGGTGAGAGGATTGCCTGAGCCCACAGGTTCGAGACAAGCCCAGGCAACTTGGCGAGACTTTGTCTCTACAATAAATCAAAAAATTAGCCACGCATGGTGGCACATACCTGTAGTTCCAGCTACTTGGAAGGCTGAGGTGGAAAGATCACTTGAGACCAGCAGGTTGAGACTGTGGTGGGCCATGAGCGTGCCACTACACTCCAGCCTAGGCAACAGAGTGAGACTCTAACTCAAAAACAAAAAAAGATGTGGGGTACAATTCAGGATTAGGTATATAAGGAGTCATTGTACAGGTTAAGTTTGGGTTTCCCTTTGGTCCCCACTTTGCCTGGTTTGAGATCAGGTACCCTTATGGATGTTGTGTGCCCCCCTCCCTCCCCTGGCAGTATCCCACTACTGCCAATCCCTTTCTTATACATATTTTTTCTTATAGTATTATGGCAAATGTTTAACATGTGTTACTCAGTTCTTTGTTTCTGTGATAGATCACTGAGTATTATAGATTCTAAATCCATCCAGGTTGCTGCGAAGTTCATCCATATGTTTGCCCTTCTCTATGACTGCATAATATTCCATCGTGTATATGTACCACATTTTTTTATCCAGTCCACTTTCGATGGGCAGCACAGTTGGTTCCATGTTTGTGCTATTGTGAATAGTGCTGCAATAAACATGCACGTGCAGGTATCTTTTTTTGTAGAATGGTTTGAGTTCCTCCGGGTGTATTCCCAGTAGGGGGATTGCTGGGTCATATGGAAGGCCAATTTCTAGTTCTTTTCAAAATTGCCACATGGTTTTCCATAGAGGATGAACTAGTTTGCATTCCCACTAGTAGTGTAGAAGTGTTCCCTTTTCTCTGCATCTTCACCAGCATCTGTTGTTTTTTGTTTTATTGATAATTAGCCTGTCGATTTCTAATGTTAAAGTTCACTTTGTTGAATGGTTACTTGTTTTTTAAAATCTGACATAATAATTATTTTAAATTCTTTCTTAAACTCTTGGTCTCTTCTCTTTTCAGTTCTGTCCACTCTGCCGTTTAATACCGAACGAGAATCCAAGCAGTTTCAATGGCAGTTTAATACGACATTTGCAAGTTAGTCACACTTTGTTTTATGATGATTTCATAGTAAGTACATTTTCTTATTTTTACATTATGTTTTTATGCTGTCTGTGTTAATCTTACCTTTTTAATACAAGTGAATGAAATTATACAGAAAAAAGTTCATATATAGCTAAGGTGTTGGGTATTAGCATTAAGTGGGAAATTATGAAATCGAGTGTTTTATATATTTGACTATGAATATTAAAGTAATTATCTGCCTTAGACAAAATTGTTTTCTTTGTGATCTAGATAATCAGCCATTTTATAAACACTCAGATTTGCTTATTTATTTATTCATTTATTTTTTGAGTTGAAGTTTCATTCTGTCACCCAGGCTGGAGTGCAGTGGCACACTCACGACCACTGCTGGGCTCAGGTGATCCTTCCGCCTCAGCCTTCCAAGTAGCTAGAACTACAGATGTGTGCCACCACACCTGGCTAATTTTTTTATTTATTGTGGAGAAGATCTTGCTAAGTTACCCAGGCTGGTTTGAACCCAAAGTGCTGGGATTACAGGCATGAGCCACTGTGCCTGGCCAGAGTCAGATTTAGTTTTTAAATTATTTAAATTTTTACTCTAGTGTCTCCCTATATATAGTTACATGAGCAAGGACTCCACCCCCCCTCCACCAAAAATGGAATTATCTTTTTGGAGGGCAAGCCCTTTTAGTACAAGCTTCCCCTGATATGTGTTCCAGGAACCCACTGTTATCAGGGTACCTGCTGGTATTGTTGTGGGAGGTTGCAATGTGCTTCAGTGGATTTTTTTTTGGAGATTCTTTCAATGTGTTTGCCATTTTATGATGGGTGATTTATGAGCACACCTGCTCACACTGCTGAGTGTTTAGCAGTTTTTGACCAAATACAGCATGACCCTTACGACCCACCTTCCCTATTCACCTGCTGTGCCCCAAGCGATGTTTTCTTATTTCCCGGATGAAAAAAAATCCTCAAAGGACAATATGTTGCCGATGTGGAAGAGGTGATACAAAAAACGGCTGAAGCACTAAAAGGCATCCAAATTGACAAGTTCAAAAACTGTTTTGAGCAGTGGAAAAAGCATCTTGATGTATTGCATCAAACGGAGAGTACTTTGAAGGTGACTGAAGTTTAAACATATAAGAATAAATACACAATTTTTTATAAATAAATTCCTTTTTGGGGGGGTCCCCTCTCATAATTATTATGAATTTGAGAACTTATATAGCTGAGATGAAATCACATCAGTAATGAAATGGCTCAGTACTTGCTCTGCATCCAGCTGCTTTTATAGTATATTGAATAGCTAATAACAGACATGATCTTATCAGTATCGCAAGACATATGTGCCTTCTCATTTTTAATTTAAATTCTATAAATGACAAAACTTGTACTTATTGAAAATTTTAAACTTAACAAATGTATTATGAAAAAAATTAAATGTATACAAAAGTAAACAGAATAACACAATAAACCCTCATTTACCCATGGCCTAGCCTCAATAATCAATTCATGGTCAATCTTACCATTTTCAAGATGGAAGAAAAATGATCTATAGTACGAATAGTTTTAATACTTATGAGTATATTTCCCATGGTGAGAAACGAGAATAGCAAACCAAAAGTTAATATAGTCTTTGCTCTACTTTGGTCCATATGTTGCCATGAGTAATTAATGCATTGTCCCTTAAGTCCCTTTTAGTAAGGAAGTATTACCTATTATGGGGAAAAAATTTTGTTATGTTCTGAAATAATATATTTTATTGTTTTTTATCTAAATATATGAAATATATAGGGCTAAATTTGAATTTGCATATAATTTTTACATGCTTTTTGTCTGGTTTCTTTTTAGGAAACCAAGTTAAAATTGAACAGTTGTTAGAGGTCATCACTTTAAAGTTTTCTCCATGTTTTTTTAATCTTAACCATTATTGTTCTCCAGATTATACACAATGGGCTTGGTTTATATGATAGCTCTGTCACAGCTATGCGACCTTGGGGAAGGCCTTTAACCTCTGAACCTCAGTTTGTTCATTTGTTAATTGGGGAGATTAAAAGCTACTCCTAAAAGCTCTTGTGAGGGTTAGATAAGATCATGCATATAAAAAGATTTGCACAGTTTAGGCATAGATGTTAGGCAAGTTGAAGATGGGATGGGAGTAATTAGGATTATTGGGACCACTCAAAAAACTGAACAAGGTACATGACAGAGCCTGCCTATTTTCTGCTCCATCTCTCTAATTATGTCTTTTCTGGCCCCTAAGTCACACTTGGCCTCCACAGAGTCTGGCTCTGGTCCGTGTATTTTTGTTGATAACAAAAAGGGGTCCCTTTTTATCTTAACTCTATGAGATGTTCTAAAAGCTAGGTTGATTTCCGTGACTGTTCTTGCTACTCATGTTCAGCCTATTCTCAAGATCTTTCCAAGTCCAGAGCTAGTCAGGATAAAGCCTGTTTGATAAGAATAACTTCCAGCCACTCAAAAACCATATTCTTGGGTATGCAAGTCTGAAATAGTCTTCTTTGTTTTGATTTTTGTGTCCTGGGCTACCAGTTAGGCACTTTAAGCATATTATCTCACTTTATTCATTGGAGCAACTTCCATGAGGTGAATGCTATATTTTTATCCTTATTTAGCTATGAAATATCTGAAGGTCAAAGGTTAACTACATACCTAAGAACAAGTTAGTATTAAATCCAAACCTTGTGCTGTACTGTGCTTTATGTCTTTCCTTTGGATTTAGTTTATTTGTTTTTATGTTTTTAGAATGGGCTTTGAATAGAGATTTCACTTTGTGTTGTTTATTTATTGTGGAACAGGAGAGGAACTGCAGGGGTTAGAGTAGTTTATGTTTTACTTGTAGAATATGCTGGCATAAAGTTTTGATTCCACTTTGACACATAGGGAGGCAAAGAGAAAAAGAGATTTGTTTTTAACACTTTTTTCAGAAATAGATTTTCAGTAGTATAGCTGGCATGGGCGTGCCTTAACTCTTCTCTGTGTTACATCTTTGTGTGGAACATAGATAGCACTCTGACCAGGATTCATAATGTTAACTAAAAACTACTAATTGTCTGGGCGCAATGGCTCATGCCTGTAATCCTAGCACTTTGAGAATAGGAGATGAGAGGACTGCCTGAGTCCAGGGGTTCAAGGCCAGCCTGGGTAACTTGGCCAGACCTTGTTTCTACAATAAATAAAAATATTAGCCGGATGTGATGGCGTGCACCTGTGGTTCCAGCTACTTGGAAGGGTGAGGAGGAAGGATCACCTGAGCCCAGCAGGCCGTGGCTGCGTGGTCATGAGCATGCCAGTGCACTCCAGCCTGGGTGACAGAGTGAGACTCTGACTCAAAAAAAACCCAACTACTAATTATATCAGGAAAAAACCCTTAAATTTCAGATCAAGACTATTTTATTATGATAGTAACCAGTTAATTAATAGGCAATAAAAAGAAATAGAAAATGCATTCATCCCAAAGCAAACGTCCTGGGTTCTGTGACAGGATTTGTGGAGCTTTGGATAAGTCACCTAACTCAGGGATTTGGTTTCCCGCAAAATGAGAACATTGCACTGCCCGCCTCTTCCATTTTCTGAAACACTATTGACTGAATATGTCTCATTATTTTTCTTTATTGTAGGATTTTAATATTATTGAGGAAGCTCTTATCCGAAGAGTCTTAGACCGGTCACTTCTTGAATATGTGAATCACTCCAACACCACGTAATTTTATTAAAAGGAAGGAGGAAGGGCCCGTTCAACTGCACCATTTAAGATGCTGCTTGAAAATTGGAGGGAAATTGTCAATGTTTGATGGGCAAAAATGTGCCACACAGTTGTATATTTGTCTGTGTTTATTGCTATCGTGCTTTTGAAAACTGCTTTCATTTTGATGGTTTTGCATTCTTGATTCTTAGCTACTTAACAACAAAAAATAGTCTACACCAGTCACTAATATGTGAAAGAAACACAGGCAAGGTATATGAGTGAAGGATATATCTATTTGCAAATTGGATGACACTGCATGTAGTGCCACATACTATTAATAACTACCATTGTGTTTAGGCACAATAACTAATCTTTATTCTACATAAAAAGATGGAGAGTGAAATGTAGTGCGGACATTCAAGGAAATATGAAATCAGTTCCAGTGCTCTTGTTCTAATCTCTTAATAGAATAACATGAATAATCTTATATGGGAGTCGGAAAGAAAAATCTTGGAAGTCAACCAAGTCCATTTAACCAAACTGTATTATATAATACTGTAACAAAATTTTGTGTTAGAAAAGTATACTGAATTCTTTGACTTTCTATAACTATGCACACCTAAGAATTTAATATTATATTTTTCAAATGTTTGTAGTTTATGATTTAGAAATATTTCTATAATATAGGCAATTTCTTAAGAACCATTAGCTGATATTTACAGTAGAAATATTCATATCCATGATATTTAGTGGAAAACTTTAAGGGTTTTGTTATCTTTTAAATGGTAATCTTTAAAATTTTTTTTTTTTTTTAGAGATGAGTTCTCAGTATGTTGTCCAGGCTGGTCTCATACTCCTAGGCTCAAGCAATCCTTCCACATCGGCCTTCCAACGTTCTGGGATTACAGGCATGAGCCACCATGCCCAGCCATAGCCTTTTAAAATTATAAAAGAAAATATAAATACTGAAAATTAGACACAACAAAACTTTGAGCTTAATGCATTTTTATAAAGAAATACTCTTTTCGAACTTTGCCAGTCACCCCATATGTCCTTTTTGCATCCCGACACAATGACAACCTCACAAAAGTAACCACTGGACTGGTTTCAACCGTAATCACTTCCTTGCCTTTCTTTATTATTTTATCACCTAAATGCATATCTCTATATTTTAATAATGTCTATCTAAAATTGCTTTATTAGATATATATTTGACATCTGTTTTTATCAACAGATTCCTTCTTCCATTTCCTTAAAATTTACCTGTTGAAGAACCTGGTCATACAACCCATAGAATTTCCCACAACCTATATTTTGCTGATTGCACACTCATGGTACAGTTCACATGTTCTTCTGTCCTCTGGATATTGGCACACAAATCCAGAGGTTTGAGCCAACTCAGGTTCAATCCTTTTGTCAAGACTGTGGGTCATGGTGTGTTCTTTCATCAGAGGAAGCATAATGTCTGGTTCTCTTTTTACGACATTAGCTGAAATTGATACTCAGTGCCTGGATCTATTTATCCATTATGGGTTGGAGAATATTCTAATTCTTTCATTTTTTTAATTGATTAGTTAGAACATTGTTATAAGGAGATGCCTCCCCACATCTGCTATTTGGTTAACTAGTAGTAGAGTCCATATCGGAACCGGATAACAAGTATTTGTGGAGTTTTGTTTTTGTTTTTGTTTTTGAAACAAAGTCTCACTCTGTTGCCCAGGTTGGAGTGCAGTGGCATGCTCACAGCTCACCAAGGCCTCAAACTCCTGGGCTGAATGATCCCACCCTAGTAGCTGGGACTACAGGACTCCTCCCATCATGCCTGGCTAGTGTTTTTCATTTTTTGGGTTTTTTTGTAGAGACAAGGTCTCACTATATTGCCCAGGCTGGTCTTGAACTCCTGGATTCAAGCAATCTTTCCACCTGAGCCCCCCAAAATGCTGGGATAGGCGTGAGCCACTGCACTAAGCCAAAATATTTGGGAGCTTTTTTCCCCCTTTATCAGTTTTCAAGATAATATGTTTTTTCCTATTATCTTCCAGGGATCATGTTTTTTAAATATAGGTATTATGAACTCATGGATACAAACACATTTGATGAGCTTCGATGCATTATAAATAATTCCTTTTTGAAGTTCATATTGTCTTTGGCCATTGAAGACCACATCAGGCCATTGCTTTAGTTATGCTCTGGCCAGGCCATATGTTCATTGAGCTATGGCCACCATGTTTTCTTAAGCTTTGGCCCCCTCCCCTACCTGGGGAGGCGAATCTCCTCTCTCTCCAGTTTACTTCCTAAATAAACTATATTTTCCAATCTAAAAGAAAACCACATTAAGTTGGTTCTGAGTCTTTCTGACACTACTTTAGAAGTCTTTAATAGCTTTCTGCTGTCTTGTATGACAAAATATCACAGGCTTAACTTGAACGTTTTCTGCCCCAAGCCTAGAATTGACCTGTTCTCTAAGAATCTGGGTTTCTTCCGTGAGAAATGGTATTTCAAAACCATCATCTGAGCTTTAAGGATGTCCAGTGCTACTGGGTTGGTCAACTAGGAAATATCTATATGTTTTTAAAGAGACTCACTTCATGAGTATCTTTTGATACTTTTAAATAAAATAGAGTATTACAGGGTTTTTACTTAACCTTTCTGTTGCAATGACATCTCTGTTCTTTAATGAGAATCCTGGTTTTCAAGGACATAGGTCATGATAGAATTAGAATATCCCACAATTACTCATTTCCTTTATTTACCTTACCCGTGCAACTTTCTCAGAATAACAATAGAATATAACCACAACCAGGCTGGGTACAGTGGCTCACTTTGGGAGGCAAAAGTGAGAAGATTGCCTGAGCCCAGGAGTTTGAGACCAGCCTGGGCAGTATGGGGAGACCTCATCTCTACAATAAAATCAAAATATTAACTGGGCGTGGTGGTGCACCCCTGTAGTTCCAGCTGCTTGGAAGTCTAGGCGAAAGGGTCATCTGAGTCCAGCAGGTCGTGGCTGTAGTGGCTGTGTGCATGCCCTTACACTCTAGCCTGGATGGCAGAGAGACTCTAACTCAAGGAAAAAAAAAAAGGAAGATAACCACAACCAATATGGCAATTGAACAGTTAAAAATTGTTACAAGGGCAACCCTCTCAGGTTCCCTCCCACTGTGGGAGCGTTTCTATTCTCTCAATAAATCCTGCATTTAAAAAAAAAAAAATTGTTACACTTCTCTTCCCATTCTCCTTCTATTTTTTAAATTACTGTATTGAGTCAACATTTTCAAAATATTGGTATAACACGCTATACTTTCTCTCTGTTATCCCCCATTTAGTATGAGTTCTTTAACTACTATATGTTTGCCCCCAGTCTTTATTTGATGGCTGTGACCATTTTTCATGTCTGGCTCTTTAATGACAAATCCTGAACACAGATTATTATCTCCATTTTGAAAGGAAGCAAAGCAGCTCTGTAGATGAGTGATATCGACTCATGAGGATAAAATGTTATTTGACTAGAGTTAGCTTTTTAATTGTAATCATTTATAAACTTCTTTTTTGGTCCTTACACATAAGTGTAGTGCCACCATAATCACAGCACAAAAACTTTTCTATAACAAAGTCATGACTTTTTTTTTTTTTTTGAGTCGAGGTCTCACTCTGTCACGAGGCTGGAGTGCAGTGGCAACGACCATGGTTCACCAAAGCCTTGACCTTCTGAGTAGCTGGGACTAAACAAACACCCAGCTAATTTTTAAGGTTTTTTTTTTTTTTTTTTTTTTTTTTTAGAGATGTGGTCTTACTATGTTGTCTAGTCTGATCTGGAACTTCCTGATCCTCAAAATAAGTGATCCTCCTACCTTGGCCTCCCAAAGTTCTGAGATCACAGCACTATGACCTGGCCATAATTTCTTAAAAGTCTTGTTACTGGGAATTCCTCTAACCAGTACAAGATAACTGGGAAAACATAAAACTGAGTGAAGTCAAGGGGGCCTCATGCCCTCCCTTTAAGATGTTGGTTTCAAGCTTGCTTTTCACAGCTGCTAGCAAGTAACCACTACTTTTTGGTTTCACAGCCTCTCTTTCTTCAGTTTAGATGGATCGTACAATATAGCAAACCCTATTGGACAATAAGAGCAAAAAGAGAGGAATTTTTCAGAAATAATCATCAGACAAAATCTAACCTCTGAAAACCAAAATATGTTTCTGGGCATTAATTAGTACTGACTATCCAGATATACCTTTGTTAATTCAGAGCAACAGAAAAAGTATCTTTAATCAGTAAAACTTGAAAAAAATTTAACAACTGTGTTTTAAATAAAGCTTTAAGTCATCTATCACACTATTAACCTCAATGCAGCAATTCTGAATCCTGTCCCTGGATTCTTCTTATGAGAATTTTGCCACCTACAGGACAAATGAGGTGCTGGCCGCCTGAATTATTTTGTGTTCTACATTAATATGAGTTCTAATATGGTGAGGTGCAAATGTTCATTGTGCCTTTAGCCTTTTATAAAAAGGAATTTATAATCCATTGCTTAAAAAAAATGAAAACCAATATTTAAAACTGATGACTGCCACAAATTTTATTTTTATTTTTTATAGAGATGAGGTCTTGCTATGTTGCCCAGTCTGGTCTTGAACTCCTGGGCTCAAGCAATTCTTCTGCCTCAGCCTCCCAAAGTGCTGGGATTACAGGTGTGAACCACTGTGCCTGGCTACTCACCTTCTTTATAACACCTAAGGATACAATCTTTTCATGGCCTTATAAGAGAAAAGCTGATTTATGTGTTGTTCTTCTAAAGCTAAATTCTTCTAGGTCTGCAAAAACTCGAGATTTTTCCCGTTCATATATGTTTTCACCCAAGTTTCTAAAATGTAGGTTGAAAGATTGGATTGATTGTGAATCTATAGCAGAGATAAGGTTTCAGGTCAGATCTCCTCAGAGATCCTGTCTCCAGTGATGTTGCATTTTATTGCTTTTACTGGGTGCTAAGTGCCTTTCATTTTGAAGTGAGCTTACTCCAGTTACTGAATGTTTATAATTTGTATCCTCAAATATTGAAAATATTTTAAAAAGTCACTAAGAGATTTATTCTTTTATTATTCAACCTCAAAAAAAAATCTGTATAGTCATCTGAATTTAAAATTTACTGTTCTTTTTCTTCTGTAAATGTGTATTATTATAAGAAATAAAAAATGGCAGGACCATTGCTTTCATTAAAATATCTACTGTGTCTATTCTTAAAGCTTGATCTTGATAATTTTTTAAATTGTCATCATTGAGCAACATCCAACACAAAAATACACATTCATTTAGGCCAGTGGTTTCTCATCCAGTGTTCATTTTGCCTCCAGCAGACGTTGGCAATGGTCTAGAGACATTTTAGTTGTCAAAACTGGGGTGGGAAAAAAAATAAAACCAAGGTGGGCCTGTGATCTGGATGAAGGCCACGGATGCTGTCCAGCATTCTACAAGTACAAGACAACCCTTCACAACAAAGAATTATCCTGCTCAAAATGTCAATAGTGATGATGTTTAGAAACCCTGATTTGGCAAAGCTTATGCTGAATACCATGGAATTATATTCGTTCTGCTAACAAGGGGTTTCACTGAAATTTAAAAGGTAAGATAGAGATGGATTCTTCCTGCTCCCTGCTAAATCCAAACTTTTTTTTTTTTTTTTTTTGTAAAGACAGGGTCTTGCTATGTTGTCCAGGTTGGTATCCGATTCCTGGCCTCAAGCAGTCCATCTGTCTCAACCTCCTGAAGTGTTGGGATTACAGGTGTGAGCCACCACACCTGGTCCATACTAAGTTTTGAGTGACTGTAGCTGTCA